TCAATCCTCAGACTGTATAAGATATTCTCTCATAATGCAAAAAAAGAAATCTCAATAACTCTTTTTTTTTATTGAGGACGTAAGTGAGACACTTTGCATAACAATTTACATTTAAAATTAGAAAAACAATTATATTAACTTATTTCATGGTCATATTATCTAATTATCTTATTTCAAGACTTAAAATACTGCATTGGCAAATAATTTTATTTACCTGATGAAAGTAAGGCAGGTATTTAAGGCATTTTAAAATAAGTGTAACTTACCATTGAGACAATACATACTCTTTACATTTTAGAAAAAATACTTGTTAGTTTTGTTTTATTTGAACTCATTTCATTAAAAACCATCAAAATAATAAGTTAACACAAGCTGCTGCCATCTGTGCCTCAACAAAGTCATGTGTTCTAGTCTGACGCAAAATCTATTAACCTGCTGATGTCGTTACCACAGGCGTCTATTTAAAAAAAAGTACAAATACGTTGTTACCTTACTTTAGTAAAAATGTTTATGCTGTCTATACTTTACTGGAGTCATTATTTTTAGACAACTTTTTCCTTCTATTCCTTCAATTGAAAAAATAGATTTGTTAGTTTTATTTCATTTAAACTCATTTTGATTATTGCCTGTTGGGATTTAAAAAAATAAATAAAAACCATCAAAATAATTAGTTTCATGCAGACAATTAATTTCTTTGTGCTTGGACTCGGTGCTGCCCCAACTTGTTGCTCACCTCAAACCAAAATAAATAGTTTTTCCAGATGATGCAAAGTTAAACGTGATGCTGTTACTATTAGTTATAAAACTAAGAAAAGGAAGTCTAAGAAAGTTATCATCCAGAATAGTAGAAAAATTTTCCTTTAATAGGGTAGAGCAGTAAAGCGTCTGATCTTAACAGTTTCCTGCATTACTTTTACTTTTATACTTTAAGTAGTTTTAAAAAGCTGAAGTTGATCCTTTAATTTTTGCAAAAGTGTTTTAAACAGCCGGATTTATACTTTTATTGCAGTACTATGACAGCTCTCATTATGAGCAAGAATATAGACGTATGTGTCCAGCAGTAATATGAAGGAGTCTCTATGATGCAGAACCTTGAAGTTATTGTTTATCTGTATGTAGGCAACATCCTGCTGGAATATCTCCTGGTTAAATGTAGTAAAAGCTGCATCATAGCAGGTTCCTAAGGTTGGTATTTACCGCCTGTTTTTTTTCCTCTCACACTATCAAACAGGTAAAATACAACAAAGAGCCATCTAGGGCGGTGGAAAGTCATGCGGGAGCTAAAACCAGTCTTTCAGCCGTGCCACACCCACTAAGATACCCAACCTGCCCGGTGGCCGGGACATACCACACATAGCAGAGACACGTAGGATGGACCTGATGTCACACGCCTCACAGAAACAGACATCTGGCTTCTAGAACTCTCTAATGATGCAAACATTTTACTGCTCCAGGAAACTCAGAGATAATTTCAGAGGAAATGAAAAGCATTCAGAGTGATCGACACAAAGATCTAAACGTTGGTTCTGGAAATGGTTTTGCTATGATGCTGTTTCCTGTTTTACAAAGTGGGGATTTATTCATCCACCACCACTCGCCCCTCCCACACCTCCTCCATGCTGACCATGATTCTGGTCTGTCCTGTTTCTGCTTCTGGGTCACCAGGTGACCTTCTTATTCCCATTATAACTAATTTCCCTTTCTGTTTTTTGTGCTGGTTTCATTCAAATCACTGGTTTTATTGGTTTCTAATTCAGATTTTGAGCCAGATTTAGGAAAACAGACCCATTATCCAAATAGAGAAATGTTAATAGAATAGACATCCATTATCTGTTGTAGGTTTTGTCCCCCTCAAGTCCCTTTTCTTCTTGTTTTCCTCTCTATGTTTTGTACTCAGCTGACTTTTCATGCTGTCTCTAAAGGAATGAAAGATTTTTTCCAAGCACTAAGCTCACTTAGCTGATTGCTCCTTCCTGTGTTTCCAAAAAGGCCAAAGTAAATAACCCAGTCCTTCTTTTCACTGTAGAAAAGCCATGATCTGCTTCTCTGTTCTCCATTTTTCATTTGGATGAAATAACAGCTGCATGAATCATGACAGCAGACAAGATAGAGGAGAGCAGGAGGCGGGGTTACCAATCTACTTGCTCTGGAGAGCAGAGTTCGCTGCTTTTAGATGTTGTCTCCAAAGTCTCCAGTAGCAGAAAAAAGTCGCTAGATTTGGCGCTAGGAGCTTTTTAGAAATCAAAGTGCTAGAGGGGTCTGAAAAGTGGCTAAATATAGCGACTAAAGCGCTAAGTTGGCAACACTGCTCTTTGCATGGTTTGTTTTCAAATGGTTTGCTGCTGTCTGTTTGGACCTTTCTGAACATGTGCAGCAAATGGACTGATCCAATATGGTGGACACTGAAGGGGGGGGGGGGGGGGGGGCTGAGACATACTTAATATTATCAGTGTTCTGATGGCATTTTAACAAAAGGATTTTATCAAAAACATAATTAATGTGCAGAAATAAGGAATAGTTGATTTAACCATAAATGGGAACAGAGTTTTATGGGGCCCCCAGGAGCTTGGGGCCCTAGGCTACTGCCTAGTATTGCCTAATGGTAATCCCCCCCTGGATGGAGGTTTCATGTCTCAGACAGAAGCCGACCACTGATTGGTCAAACCTGTTAAAGACTTTTTTATTAAGCAGCGTTAGGAGCAGCCTCTGGTTCCGAGAGAAGATTTGATCTCAGCAAACAAATCCCACTGAGACACAGAGCAGTAATGGACTGACTTTATGTGATGCTTCACACTAGATCCGATCTGATCACTACTAAAACTAAAAATCAAATTAATGAATGTGGACTGGGCAGCAGAACAGCTGCTTTCTGGTTGCGGTCAGACTGATCCTGAGGTATCAGGTGCCCTGTTCTGTGACTGCTCACACAGATTACAATAACAGATAAACAGCATGACTTGCATCTATTGGTCATCCACTGAGCCGGTGTTCTGTCAGATGAGCATGCCCGGTCAGACCAGAATACCCATAGTCAATACCTGTTTATTCCTTTAGTTTTTTATGAAAAATATACTTCAAACTATCTCAGCGGGCATGTATCCCTTTAGTCATGGACAAAAAAAACAATTTAATTATTTACTTTTTTGGTGTTTTTCGAAGCGTATGGAGGTCTGATCTTAAATTGTTTTCTTGTATGGGTGATACAGTTTGTCCGAGTGGAGTTGCCATATGATGACATCATAAGAAGGAGCGGGGCCCCGAGCAGCTGTGGTACCTACACTGGAAGATGGCAGGAGGGAGGTGTTACTAAATTTGGCCAAAAATGGTCGCTCACCGATTTATAAAATTATTTTAATTTTTTTTACTGATTAAAGCTTAATTCATTAGATCACTGCAAACTTATTAGTTTTAGGTATAAATAATGATCCATTGGTTGTTCCTTGCTGACTTGACTTTTCCTTTAAACAGACAGTAATCCAGCTAAAACATAAATTTTTATCTTCATATTTTCAATTTTTTATTTTCACTGAGAAAACACCACAGCTGAAGGAAGCGGAGGAGCTTTTATGTTTTGCAAGACGTTATTCTCCCGGTTTGATTCATTTTAGCATGTTGTTTCTTAACCAAAATTAGATTTAAACCAGCAACTTCCAGAATGCTCCAAAGCCCTTTTTCACAATCATTAATTAAACAGCGGATTTTAATGTATTACAAGTTGGGATACAAATGTTGTGCTCCCTTTTAGGGAGCACCTTACATAAGCTGCTTTCATGGTTGCACTAACACGCTGGTCCTGGAGCCCACTGGTACTGAGGTAATCAGAACTTGGAGCCAATATGGAGGAAGCAATATGAGCGAAGGGCAGGCAGCTCCCACACTGGAAGAAGAGGTTTTCTGACAGGGAGATGCTGGTTTCTGCTCTCCTTCACAGCAGAATTTGGATGAAGATTAAGGGCTTACTTCCAGGGTACCAAGAACCAAATCAGACCCGGCATAATTCTGCTGAAAGCTACAGAATCTATGAAGGATCCTGATCGATCTGATCGAGGAGGAAATGAAAACTGTTAAAAGTTTCTCTGTCTAAATTTTAGCCCATTCTTTATTAACTCCTGTGTTGTTGTTTTTTTGTATTAACCATACATGGAAACAGAGTTTTATGGTTCAGTTCAGCACAAAGGAAGAGAAATTATTATGCCGACCTGAATATCTGCAAACAAAATTGACAGCAGGGGATATACCATTAGGCAATGCTAGTTAGCTCCCTAGGGCCCCAAGTTCCTGGGGGACCCATAAAACTCTGTTTCCATGTATGGTTAATACAACTATTCCTTATTTGTTAACATTGATTATGTTTTTGATAAAAATCCTTTCACTAAAATGCCATCAGAACACTGATAATATTAAGTGTGTCTCAGCACCCCCTTCAGTGTCCACCATATTGGATCAGTCCATTTGCTGCACATGTTCAGAAAAGGTCCAAACAGACAGCAACAAACCATTTGAAAACAAATGATGCAGTGTTGCCAACTTAGCGCTTTAGTCGCTATATTTAGCCACTATTCAGACCCCTCTAGCACTTTGATTTCTAAAAAGCTCCTAGCGCCAAAGCTAGCGACTTTTTTCTGCTACTGGAGACTTTGGAGACAACATCTAAAAGCAGCGAACTCTGGCAACAGTTTGAATAGTTAGCTTTTAAATGAAGGAAAAACAACATTTCAGTGACTGAAAGTCAGTCTGCAGTGAAAAGGTGTTTATCAGTAATTCTTCCTGTTGCTGGGAGGGGCCCTGACTCTTCCTCCTGTGACGTCAGGTGGGCGCTCAGGTGTTTCAGGTCTGTCCAGCAACACCACATGCTTCTCATACCTGTCATCAAACGTCACAGTGAGAGGAGCAACTGTGCAGGTGATGCTGGGGAGGGGGGGGCTAAGATTAGCCGCACCGCCATGTGTGCAGTAATGCAGCCCCCCCTCCCCCCGCTGCGTCCTTCTGTCTGGCCTGGTGGAGGGAGGGGGGCTCCACCTGTCAGCAGGCTGCTCTCCGCCTCTTTGCATGCGCGTGCACGCGGGTGTGAGCGAGAGTGAGCGGTGAGGGAACAACAGTGGCGCGCGCCGACAGGACGGAAAGCGGCTGCTCCGTAGGCTGGGACCGCTGGGTTCCGCTCAGACTGACACCGAACCAGAACCAGAACCGGAACCAGATCCAGATCCAGTGGATGTTTTTATCCGCAGCGGCAGGATGTCCAGACAGCAGCAGCAGCAGCAGCAGCAGCAGCGGACCCCCATCAGACACACCGACAGCACCGTGGAGGTGAAGAGCAAAGTGAGTCTTCCTCACCGGCTTTCTGGTCGGTTCGGTTCGGGTTTTCGCTCAGGTGAGATCCAGGAGGTTCCTAGGCTGAAACCGACCTTCCTGCGATGGTTCCGGTTCGGTTCGTTCCGGTGGTTCCGGGCCCACCGGAACGAACCGAACCGGTGCAGTCTCTCCGGTTTCAGGCCAGGTGTAAACAGGTCGATCCTGGTTCTGGATGTGTCTAATATCTGGGATATAAGCTGTAATATGGAGGATCGGAGCCAAAACAAACATCTCTGATTGTTTGGGTTTGAAACTGAGCTAAATATGAACAGAAAGATATTTATTCCTAGATCAGCTATACACACTGATCCCACTCTAGGAGGATATCTGTGAGATTAGGAAGCTTCATTCACAACATTGAAGATAAATGAAAACATCATCATCATCATCATCATCATCATCATCATCATCGTCATCAGAGGCTCTGTGATTTCAGAACATTCAGGAAATGTGACCCGATCAGAAACAAGCCGATTAAACCTTTCCAGGATCCTCCATGATGGCCTGAATGCTTCTATGAAGAAGAAACATGTTTTGCTAGCTATAGAACTAGAACTCATAGATGACACAATCATTAGGCCATTCTAGACTCAGCTGGAGAAGCAGAGTTCAGACTTTCACCAAGGAGCTCATTTCATTGGAGACGTCCGCCTTCAGTTAATTCCTCTGTTCACCAGTTTTGTTATCGATCAGATAAAACTTCACCAGTGGCGTCAAAAGTTCACACATTTGTTACTTAATTAGAAGTATAGATACTGCAGTTTAAAAACACTCTGGTAAAAGTTAAACTTGAACTCTTTACTTAAGTAAAAGTGAAAAAGTATGTGCTCCAAAAAACTACTTAAAGTATAAAGTAACCTTTAATAAAAAACAGCCAGATGCCACTATATGAATTGAAAGCTAAATTTTTCGACTATTTCTAAAAATTCTTTGAGATAGGGCCAAGGAGGAGGGAGGTCTTGTTGGTCTCCATCTCCCGATAGGGTCTCGCCTGTGTCCGACCTTTCAGACATTTCAACATCATTTCCTGAATCCTACATTTTAGCATGCCATAGACAATTCATGTTTGCAGTTTGAAGAACACCTGCTTGCTTCTGATGATTTCCTTTAGCTAACCAATGAGTGTTTGCGTTATATGACTCATCCAATCACACTAGTTTTCACTAGATGTGGATGGAGCCAATGATCTGCAGTGGATGGAGCACATGACGGGAAATAAATATTTATAAACATTTAACCAGGGGTAACCAATTAAAGAAAATCATCAACCAGTAAAGGTCCAGAGACATTTTTAATGATCTGTTACTTTAAACAGAATTTAACACTGAAATAAAATGAGGTGTTTATGCATCCATGTTATACATAGAATTTATTAAATTAAAAAATATAAAAAAAAAATAGAAAATGTTTCTATTTTAAAATGTAAAGTGTTTTTTGAAGTAGAGAACAACAATCGTTCAGTTTGTTTAATAGACAACTTCCTGATTCCCATATTTTCTCAAACACCTGAACTGAGCGTTTGTTATTTTCTTTCTTTTTTCTGTCTTAATGTTCGCAGTGGGCTTTATGCTGCCCTGCAAGGCTTTAAACCAGGGTTTGAATGGAGACTAAGCCGTTCTAAAGCACATATCAAGGAGCTCATTTTCCAGATCCAGATGGAGATCCGGATCCCCATCTGGATCCTGATCCCCATCTGGATCCTCATCTGGATCCTGTTCCCCATCTGGATCCTGATCCCCATCTGGATCCGCATCTAGATCCGGATCCCCATCTAGATCCGGGTCCTTATCTGGATCCGCATCTAGATCCGGATCCCCATCTAGATCCGGGTCCTTATCTGGATCCGCATCTAGATCCGGATCCCCATCTGGATGCTGATCCAGATGAGGTTCCAGATCCAGATGCGGATCCAGATGGGGATCCACTTCTAGACCCGGCTCCAGGTTTCCAGCTGTGCTCAGGTACGGTAGCCTGGATGGTCCATCTATCTTCTAATCTAGAAAATGACTAAATGCAGATAAACATGTTTTAGTCCTATTTTGCAGGACTGCTCTGAGCATTTCCCATGGTGACGTCACACAAGCAGTTCAACGGAGAAAATGGAAAAAGCAACAAATAGTCTCAGAAACATTTTTTGAGGATGTGTATTAGCATTGTTTAGTGATTAAAAGACAGAAATATATACTTTTATTACCATAATTACATTATTTATGGCGACCTGGATGAATATCTTTGTCAGGCCAGAACTTACCGGAACAATCACAGCAGAAGAGGTGGGAGTTGTGTCAGAATTACCCATGATGCAACCATAAGGGTCAACTGTCCTTTTCTATGTCTGCTTCTGTCTCCTTGAACCCCAGTCGGCCTCAGCAGATGGCCGCTCACACTGAGCCTGGTTCTGCTGGAGGTTTCTTCCTGTTCAAAGGGAGTTTTTCCTCTCCACTGTTGCTACAAGCATGCTTAGTGTGAGGGATTGCTGAAGAGTCAATGAGTCGATGCAATCAGCTGGTTTTCCTTAGATAGAAAACTTTGAATCAATCTGAATGGATGATCTGGTGATTTGGAAAGTGACCAGAGATGACATGGTGTGAATTGGAGCTATAGAAATAAACTGAATAGAATTGAAATAAAGTGAAGATGGCAGCTGTAATGAAGCCATGTTTTGATGTCACCTTTTATTGTTTCCTAAAAGAGCTGACGCAGCTTTCAAACCTCCACGGCTTGATGATATTTTCTGATTGGTTCTAAGCTTTTAGTCCCAGCCTTAAAGCTACAGTGTGTAATAATTACAGGGATATACAGTCAGAAATGTAATATATTATACATAACTATGTTATTTATCATCATCTATGAGCTCAGCCTCTTAACCTTAATATTTGCGTTGCCTTAGAATTCGTTATTTATAATTACATAGGAGCGGGTCTTGCAGCCATGGAGGCAGACATCTTTGCGCTACGGCAGCGCAGAGGCAACAAACTAGCGATTGCGAGATCTCCAAAACGTCACAACGATGTAGAAAAAATAACGGGTATATTTATTATCTTAAGTCTACATGAAATCTATACCCTACACAGACTAATGAAATACTATCTGTAAAATTATCTATGTAAACAAACCTCATCACTTGAGAAGGTAGGTGATGAGGACGTCGTGGAAGACATTTTGTTCCGTAACGCTCGCCGAACTGTTGGGGGGGAGAGGCGGTGGGGGGGAGATGTTCATGTTGCTGCGGTCTGCAGTCTGACCGCTAGATATCGCTAAAAGTTACACACTGTAGCTTTAAATCAGCTGCTCTCCAGCTGTGTTTACTGAATCACATCCCCCCTCCCAGCTGGTGACGTACTTACGCCACCATCATATAATGACACCCCAGCTAAATGACAGGTTGAAGATGTTTTATCACGCCGCCAATGACCAAATAATCTCTTAATGTTAACTTATGGAGTGTGTGGTGAGAGAATGGACCAAATGGAGCAGCAATCATCTCCTTCTCCTCCACAGTAAATGGCTCTATAGTCACTTCATCTACAGCCTCTATTATTTTTCTTTAATTAATAAGTCTTCCTCCTTCACCAGTCAGGTTATAGAGCAGAGTTTCATTCTCCGCTGTGGTCTTTGCTCCATAAACTGTAGTTTAAGACGCCATCGTTCCAAAACAGCGGAGGGATTTGAAGAAAACAGAAGTGCTGCATGTTGGCTCGTTTGGACCTGCTGCTCGTTGCTACTGAAACCACTCAGCGTCACGTTCTTTCCCTTTAAACTGCTTCTACGGTTAAATACCCACAGTAGTAGTGAAAAACAGCTAAATGTTGAAAGTATCAGAATTTCCTGAAGGTCAGCCGACAGGAAGTAAATCCATCCTCTTTAGTCCAATCTGGATTCATTCATCTTTAAGCTCTATGTAGGGAAATCCTTTGAAATAAATCTGCATCTGAAATCCAAACTGAGACCTGATGGCCCCAGGTTGGCCAATCACAGATCCGAATGTGTCTGCTGGGAAATAAGGAAATGTTTTTTGTTTTTGTTTTTTTTGTAAAATGTCCAAAGTTTTCCCCTAAATCAAAGCTCAAAGCCTCGATAAATGGTGTCAAAAAACAGAGTTTCCTCTTCCTTCCACTGGATCTTAGCACGGGCAGCAGGCTGGCCTGAGTGCAACACTTCATCACTTTATTCATTAATTCAGTTCTATTCAGTTTATTTCTATAGCTCCAATTCACATCATGTCATCTCAGGTCATTTTCCAGTTCACCAGATCATCCAGTCAGATTGATTCAAAGTTTTCTATCTAAGGAAAACCAGTTGATTGCATTGACTCATTGACTCTTCAGCAATCCCTCACACTAAGCATGCTTGTAGCGACAGTGGAGAGGAAAAACTCCCTTTGAATGTTTAAAACTAGTTTCTTCTAGAGAAAATCTGTTCAGCTGAAAATCTCAGAGCAGAGCTTCTTGGATTGACGGCCTCTGCTGTCCTACGACGGAGTATTAGGGCAAGGCTAGAGATTTTCTTTTTTTTTTCAAATACAAGAATAAAGTCACATTATCAGAATAAAATAGCAATATAACAAGAACAAGGTCATATTACGAGAATAAAGTTGCAACATTATCAGAATTAGGTTGCAGTTTTACGAGAATAAAGTCACATTATCAGAATAATTTTGTAACAGTACTAGAATAAAGTCGCAACATTTATACAATAAAGTCACAACATTATCAGAATAAAGTTGCAACATTACTAGAATAAAGTCACAACATTATCAGAATAAAGTTGCAACATTACTAGAATAAAGTCACAACATTATCAGAATAGTCATTAAAACATTACTATAATAAAGTCGCAACATTACTAGAATAAAGTCACATTATCAGAATAGTCATCGCAACATTACTATAATAAAGTTGCAACAATAATACAATAAAGTCACAACATTATCAAAATAGTCATCGCAACATTACTAGAATAAAGTCGCAACATTATCAGAATAAAGTCATAATATTATAACTATAAATATCATAACTTTTAATATTATGATATTATCCTCATAATGTTATGACTTTATTCTGCATTAAAAAGAAAAAAATCTTTAGCCTGGTCCTAATACTCCAATAAAGCTGGGGATGCACTGTGCTATATTTTCAATCGTTGCATGCAGGGTTCGCAGCTCACGATGTTTGTTCTCACACTGTGCGGCCCGATGCTCTGATGTGACCTAAAGACTGAATTTCATGTTCAACATGTTTGATTTCCTTCTGACCTTACGATTCCTGATCGGGAGGTGATCGTGAGAGGCTAATCGCCCCTCGTACCCCCTGTATACTACATGACGAACGATAGAGCTAAAAAAAAAAAATATTGCACGACTGGAGAATCGACCCAAAAAGGGCCAAAAATCGTACGGTGTACTCTGGGCTGAAGGAGCCACTGAGTAAAACGATATGTACATAACCACCAATAGATGTTCTGTTGCCTTATATAAGGTTAATTATTCCACAGAAAAACCTTAAAAATGGGATTTGCTGCTTATTTGGGATTTAAATATTACTCTTTAAGTCCTGGAAGACAAAAAAAACCCAAGTTTGCGTGATTTAGATGAAAACAATTTGAAAAAAGGACACGGACACGACCTTAGACGGTTTTCAAGTCTGAAGGAATCTGGCTTTACTCCGATTGTTCCGGTCCACCAGGCCTCCTTCACTTCAAATATTTCCAAACAAAGCAGAGCAATGCCAAAAGCATGTGGAGCAACCTGAAATGTCAGCTGCCTCAGGCTGAATTTCTCACCTCTTAAGACTTTTCTGGGTGTTTTTTTTTTCTTCCTGCTTCAGGATCTTCCAGGTTGGAGCGGAATGGCGTCATGGTAGAAATCATAAACCTAGACGCAACAGTCAGCACTCCCAGCTTTGGTGCATTTTAATTCCCCCCTCCCTTTCTCTTTACTTTGTTTTTATTTTTTGGATTATCACTATAAAGAAATCGCAAAAGTGCATCAACTTCTTTCAAAAAGTTTAATTTAAAAGAAAAATAATTTCTACCAATGAAGAGGAAGATGTTTGTTTTTATTCCAATGTCTCATATATAGTGACATCCGGTTATATTGGAGGCTAATTTATGGAGTTTTATCTGGATTGGAATTAAAGGAATTAATACTTTTAAAGAGTTTTTCTTTGGTTTTAAAATGTGTGCTGTTCCTTCTGCAGTTCGAGGCGGAGTATCGCCGTTTTGGTCTGAAGAGGAACAGCTTCGGTGGCTTCAAGGAGTTCTACCAGATCCTCCAAACCATCCATCATATCCATGGCGACGACGTGCTGCTGGAATATGCTGATATCCACGGAGATCTCCTTCCAATCAACAATGACGAAAATTTCAACAAAGCCGTCTCTCTGGCCAATCCCGTTCTCCGGATTATCATAACCAAAAAAGGTGAGAGCTGTAAAGAGAAAGGAAGCTTAAAGTTGGCAACGGCGCTGCAAAAGCGAACTAGAAATAAGTAAAAATTAAATTCGTAGGGAATCGGCTGTTCTAACGGGTGCAGTTCCAAATTCTCCTGAGTGGTGCCCGACTTTACACGAGTGAATAAAGTAAATGTGATTGGTCGATTATCAATGGGGCGGGATTGTTGTGGCGGAAGGTTTGCAACCATCTTTGGTTGCGGCCGGTTTGTCAGAAGCATCTTGCTAACCAGTTAGCAACCTAGTGCTAGTAGGTTCCCAATGGGATATTCCATTGGGACCAAGTAGCACTAAATTGGTGACTTAGAAACGACACTGTCAAGGAACGCTATGGACAGAGGAAACATGCAAGAGGAGGAGAGTTTAGTGTCGGAGGTCGTGGATGAGTCTCCTCCGTCATCCATTTTTTATTTAGAGGAGGAAAGCAGGATGAAGATGTTGTGGAAGAGGACGCCAGGGCGGCAGAAGCTTGGTTTGGTGTAGAAGGCTTCCAGCCGTACATGTTTGAGCCCTTGCCTCACAACGCTGCCAGTTCTGTTAGCTCTACGCCTGCTGAAGACACAGACGTCCATCCCTGTGAACACTGGGACGGAACTCAATGGGAAAGGAAAGGATTATGGGGCCAAAATGGTAGCTTTAATATTTGCAAATGTGTGTGGAGAGTTGTGTGTCTGTATCTCGATTTGTGTGTGTGCAGTGGGATTTGAAAATGTGTAAATAAATCTGTAAATGTGTGAGGAGATTTGTGTGTCTGTACAAAAATCTGCAAATGTGTAAAACTACTTGTGTGTAATCCGTTTTGCAAATGTGTAAAAAATCCACAAATCTGTATTCAGATCTGCAAATGTGTACTGAGATTTGCAAATGTGTAAAAAATCCACAAATCTGTATTCAGATCTGCAAATGTGTACTGAGACTTGCAAATGTGTAGATCAATCTGTAAGCACACACAGAGACACTTGTGTCTGAAGTATTTTCGCTTCAAGACCCAGAAATACAGACAAATCATTGGTTACAAGTCAAGCGGTTTTTCGGTTGGCTCTCTTTACACACGTGATTTTTGCTACTCTTCTGCCGCGTGAGATGCACAAATGCGTAGAAGGATTTCTATGTGTATTTTCGCGATTTGTAACCCCTTGCGCAGGCTCGCAGGCTCACATGCTGCCCTGACCGCAGGCTCGCAGGCTCACAGGCTCACAGACAGCCTCTCTCTGCTGCGGCAGTTCAGCACAACTTGCTTCACATACAGCCACATACCACCAGTTGGCGGTATTGTATTGCACAGTACGTGACGTTACTGGGGTCCTAGGGGTTGTACCTGCTAAGTTGAGAGCAATGGAATCCCGTCAGCTTTCTGTAAGTATATTTCTTTAATTTTTCCTATAGTTTGCATTAGTAAAACTGTTTCTTCTTCTTCTGCTTCTGTTTTATGGCGGTTGGCAAGCAACTTTATGATGTGCATTACCACCATCTACTTCAGTGGAGTGTGGATCGGGATGCTATGTATTTTCCCACTGAAAAATAAAAATAAATATTAACAATATTTACATAAATAAACTTATATCCTTTCTACCAATTTCGTTTTTTCAGGATTGTTTATCAAATTACAAAAATAATCATAAGTAGATTTCCCCCCCCCCAAAATATCTTGTATATTTAACTGTAATTTATTTTCTTGTAACCCTTCTCTCCATAGAATATTTATAACAAAACAACAAAACATGCTCCACCGTCTCCCCTTGATAACAAAAACCACAACCTCCTGTTCCAATTCTAAATAAGTTTCCATTTAACCCCGTGTTTCCGAAACGTAATCTAGATATAACCTCTTTTTTATTCCTTTCCGTTCTCCTCATTTCACCAATTTTCCTTTGAAGACTATAAAGCCAACTTCCAGTTCTATGCTCTTCCCACAGCTTCTGCCATCTTTCCGTAACCTTTTGTTTAATAATAGATTACATTTTTTCCTTACTGAATGGTAGCAATATGTCCTTGTCACGTCTACTCCCGCAGCGGAGGGAAAAAAAAGGTAGAGGCTGTCTGTGAGCCTGCGAGCCTGCGGTCAGGGCAGCATGTGAGCCTGCGAGCCTGCGCAAGGGGTTACAAATCGCGAAAATACACATACAAATCCTTCTACACATTTGTGCATCTCACGCGGCAGAAGAGTAGCAAAAATCACGTGTGTAAAGAGAGCCAACCGAAAAACCGCTTGACTTGTAACCAATGATTTGTCTGTATTTCTGGGTCTTGAAGCGAAAATACTTCAGACGCAAGTGTCTCTGTGTGTGCTTACAGATTGATCTACACATTTGCAAGTCTCAGTACACATTTGCAGATCTGAATACAGATTTGTGGATTTTTTACACATTTGCAAATCTCAGTACACATTTGCAGATCTGAATACAGATTAGTGGATTTTTTACACATTTGCAAAATGGATTACACACAAGTACACACATTTGCAGATTGTTGTACAGACACACAAATCTCACACATTTACAGATTTATTTACACATTTTCAAATCCCACTGCACACACACAAATCGAGATACAGACACACAACTCTCCACACACATTTGCAAATATTAAAGCTACCATTTTGGCCCCATAAATGATTCTCATTTCAACTGTTGCATATATTAGCTGCAACATATGAACAAGATGCTATGACCGAAAACATTTGATTGACAGATGACCGTTGATATATGATTGGCTGAATTTAGGTGTTCAGGCTGACGTAGAACTAACTGCCCTGCATAAAATAATGAAATAACACAGAGTTTAGGACAGGATTCTTTTAAAAATAGAAATTTTCTAACTTTTGGGACAATATAGTCTGATAAAGAGTACATTTATATACATGTTTAAGCCAGAATGATTTGACATTTAAATATGACTTCCCTACAACTTTAAGTTTATATTGCACAGGCGTAACTTTCTGAAGGACTGGTGTGGATAGTTCCCACCATTAGTTTCTGTCTTTTTTAACTTTAGCCAATGGTAACAGAGGTTGGGTGCAGCTAACTGTGTTCATAGCATTTTGAGTCGCTGTTTTTTTCCTCTTTCGCGCTGCTATCATCACCGCTGACATCATCGCATCTGTTGTTTAGAGACGTCTGATTTGCAGTTGCATTTCACTGCACACATAGTAGGTACGTGAAGGAGGAGAGACACAAAGCAGCATTAACAAGCAGCTACTTTGATAGATGTCAAAGTAAAAGTTAGCAGACGGGTTGGTTAAAATATTAGAGATGCCATCGTTGGACGTCGTAGACATCGGGAGTTTTTTCAGCTAAAAATGGCAACAATTATACAAGTTGGTAATATAATGCAAGAAGCTGAGAAAACATAGTTTGTTCTTCTTTACTAGTTTTAAAATCTTGGCTTTTAGAGGACCATGACTCCCAGTTCCAGGTTAAAATGTAGGTCCCTGAGCCCCCACCCTCAGTGCGCCTCCACCCTCGGAGCGCCCCCACCCTCAGAGCGCCTATACCCTCAGTGCGCCTTCACCCTCGGAGTGCCCCCACCCTCAGAGTGCCCCCACCCTTAGAGCGCCTCCACCCTCAGAGCGCGCCCAACCTTAGAGTGCCTCCACCCTGAGGGCACCTCCACTCTTAGAGCGCCTCCACCCTTCGAGCGCCTCCACCCTCAGAATGCTTCCCCCCTTAGAGCGCCCCCAACCTCAGAGCGCCTATACCCTCAGAGCGCCCCCACCCTCAGAGCGCCTATACCCTCAGAGCGCCCCCACCCTCAGAGCGCCTATACCTTCAGAGCGCCCCCACCCTCAGAGCGCCTATACCCTCAGAGTGCCTATACCCTCAGAGCGCCTATACCCTCAGAGCGCCCCCACCCTAAGAGCGCCTATACCCTCAGAGCGCCCCCACCCTCAGAGCGCCTATACCCTCAGAGCGCCCCCACCCTAAGAGCGCCTATACCCTCAGAGCGCCCCCACCCTCAGAGCGCCTATACCCTCAGAGCGCCCCCAACCTCAGAGCGCCCCCACCCTCAGAGTGCCCCCACCCTTAGAGAACTTATACCCTCAGAGCGCCCCCACCATTAGAGCGCCTCCACCCTCAAGGCGCCTCCACCCTTAGAGTGCCTCCACCTCAAAGGCGCCTCCACTCTTAGAGCGCCTGCACCCTTAGAGCACCTCCACCCTCAGAGCGCCCCCAACCTTAGAGCGCCCCTCAGAGCGCCCCCAACCTTAGAGCGCCCCTCAGAGCGCCCCCAACCTTAGAGCGCCTCCACCCTCAGAGCGCCTCCACCCTCAGAGCGCTTCCCCCCTTAGAGCGCCCCCAACCTCAGAGCGCCTCCACCCTCAGAGCGCCCCCACCAACTTTCATCACAAAGTTCCACCCTTGGTATTTAGCCTTGAATTGAGCAGGTAAATAAGATCTGCCAATAGAATGACTAGTTTTACTCTTGACATAAAATAATGTATTTGTAATGTAATAATGTAATTGTTTTTTTCTTATTTAAAATGTGAATTTTGTTTCATTGGTAAAGTGTCTCACTTACCTCCTCAATTCAAGGAAAAATGCACTCATTTTAAGAAATATTGACTTATTTATATTTCTATTTTTTGCAATAAAAAGATTTCAAGCTTCTCCCTCATTTAACTGCAGCTATTAAAAGCATCACAGCATTACTGTAGCTCAGTCTGTCTTAATTCGTGATGTAACGATGTTATTGTGCTGCTCAGCAAGCGAGTATTGGTTCAGGTTACGCTTTAATCCCATTTACTGGGATCTGGTAGAGAAAGGAAGTAGGAGGCATAAAGACAGAGGCTCAAAACACAGAGAGCAACAGAAACTAAGATATAAATCTAGGTAAGTATGCTTCAGGGTTGGTCAGATAAACTAGGAAATGAGCCTGGTCTAACAGAATAATCCCTTTAGAACAGGGCTTCCGCAGGTCATTTAAAAGCATTAAAAGTCAATGAACTCTTAGAGCGCCTCCACCCTTAGAGCG